TCAGATTCTGAGAATCCAAGCAAATAAGGTAAAGAATGTGAATTGCTTGGATCATATCTTGTTTTTATACTTTGAAAAAGACAATAATCAGATTCTGTTTTAGATGATTTGTGAAAGTTGCTTTCATTATAAGTACTTCATTAAAATTTAAGATGATAATTTTTATACATAATACTAAATTTCCAAATTGTTTTTGTCAATTTAAAGAAAACTAAATATTTAGGTAATAATAGAATCCATTCATATTTGATTTAATAATAATAGTATTTAGCAATTGAAGGAACTCTCACTTGAAGTAAAATTGCATTTAAAGATTCATGTAAAGGTAGAACTTCTAATTGATCAAGTTTTCTTACAAGGCATTTATCTTTTGAATTTCCTATTAGTGTTCTTTTTGCTAACATTTGATTAATATATTCTTCATACCATTTAATTATTTTTTTAAATTATAAAGTTTATATTAAAATTTTCTGTATTTCGAAGCTTGAAATTAAGAGGTGATACTATGAGAATTATGTGGAAAAATCTTGTAAGACTTGGTTCCATTTTATACTTTTCATTACTTATATAATTTATCTTACTAATTATTATTGTTATTTATAAATTATAATCTCTGAATAACTGAAAAATGGCCAATGACAATTTAGCTGAATTGATAAGTTACTGACTTCATCTGGCAGCCAATCATTGATTATCATTTGGTCGAATCAATAAGTTGTTGATGTCAACAGAGATCACTTTCGGCTAAATAATCATCGACATCGTCATATATAAAAAAAAAGAATCTGGGCATTCAAAATTGTTTGTAAAATATATACATTCAAAACCTCATTGGGTTTTTAATTATACCTTGTACCAAACATGTTATCTAACAGATTAAATAGATTATGCCTGGTACAAAATATAATTGAAAACCTGATGATAGGTTTTTCTCTGAACACACTTATATGTAATTCAAACAGACTATTCTAGGTGAAAGTTAGCATTAAATTACTGGTATATGATTTATTAATCATGTAACTGAAACTACTAGGTTTAATCACATGCTTAAATAATTTTTAAATTAGATAAAGGGTTTCTTTTGATGGCATTATAAAATAAGTGCTGTCAAGGAAAATGAGACTTTGGGATTCAGGTTTGTTAATCAATGAAAATTTGATTAATGATTTGTGATAAGATATTATATATATCACTGATCAGATTTTTATAGGCTAAACTCGATAAGTAATCAATGGTAAACCTAAAATCTCAAAGTCTGATTTTTTTTAACAGTACTCAAATACATAATTGTAGTACTGATTTTTAGAGCTCACATCTGAAACAATATAGGAAACGGACCTATACAGATAAGCTTACCAACGTTAGTGATGTCAGTAAAATACAGGTAACTTATTAAGAAACTACTCATAATTAATAATTTTTATGATATTTCTTTTAATTAGATACGATCTCTATTACAAAGGTTGACGAATTATATATGGTGAGACATCCATAGTAATAAAAAGAGATAATCTTATTATCTTTTTTTTGTTGTGGACATTTCCATATTATAATCAGCCATGAAATCTATATTAACAGTATAGGTAGAATTTTATTGTCTTTTTTTTTTTTTTTTTTATAGTAATATTCAAAAAAAAGTAACAACTGTGTTATATAATTAATGTTGTCAACTTTGGAATAATATTATAAGTCTTTAAAACATTTGAAATTCTGTTGTATATAAAATTAAGATAAACGGAGATTCCCTTGGCATAATTACTATTTTCAGCAGATTACTAATGCAATTATATTTTCTTTCATCTTTATTGTGCATTTTTAGCAATTGAGTAAGTTCTGAAAGTTTAACAATATTAGTATAAAAAAAAAGAATAAATCTATGGTATTTGAAATTTTTCTGAATGAATATAATATAGCATGACTAAGTTATTTATGCAATAATTAGATCTTACCAAAGGCTGTCATTTAACAAATTTAATCTATTGCGGGTAGTAATTCCAATATCAAAATATAATTTAAAATCAGTGCTGAGATCAGAGAATGGATCATGTAAGTATTAAAATAACTTTATTAAAAACTTATTTACTTATTTAAAATTTATATTTATGACTAACAAATTTGAATATTTCATTCAAAGAAATTATATTTTTTATAAGTTTACTCATTATCATCATAATGATAAAAATTTTAAAAATTATAATTATAATAATATTTATTATGATAATATTGTTATTATTATTATTATTTATATGTTAAATAAATTATAATAAATAATAATAAAATATATAAAAATTTGATTCATGTCAACTGCATTGTACCCAAATTTATGCATCACTGGCTAGAACATAAAACATAAAACCAAAATTGTAAAAATAATTCCCACATTATCACATGTGCCTATATATTGATAGAATAAATTTGTTTACAAAATGAACTTTGTAACTGTCTAAAATAAACTCATCTTTGAATCCTACGAAATGATTATAGTAATTTTATACTAGATCATATTAAGAATTCTGCTTTTACATTGTAAAAAATATACCATATTTGAGAATATTAATTGGTCCTGCAGTAATTATTAACTGACTTTGAGAAAGGTTTCTAAAAAATCATTTTAACTGACCTGATTAGTTGATTATCTCCATACTGTTCAGTTTTCATCTAAATTACTCAAAAATTGATGCAAAAACCAACAAACTTCTATTAGAAAATATTGCAGAAAAATAATTATTTATAAGACAAATACCAGTTATATAATGCTGATTTTTTACAAATTCTGTTCAAAATCAACTAACAATTACTGCAAGACCAATTAACATTTCTAGTTATTATTGAAAAAAAATTTTTTTTTGATTAAAAAATTATTTTGAAATAAGACATGTACTGACATAATTCTAAATACTTATACTGGGAATTTCAAAAGTTACAAAACATGGTCTTTTTTTTTTATACGTATAGAGATCACGATTATTTATATTTGTATAAATAATCATGATATCTATATATAAGATCACTTAAAAAAAGGGACTACATTTTGAAACTTTTGAAACACCTGGTATAACGATAGAAAAAAAATCTGTAGTTGCCCATAATTGTTCTATAACTGATCTGAAGTTTTCTTGTAAATTATTTATAAAATAATAAGAAATGCTGTTAGAATTAGAGTTTAGCCGAGTCTATAATATATCAACTATAAACAAAATTTCAGATAATTTTGATTGGACAATTACCTTTTCTAGAAATCTAATAGAATGATTTTTTTTCCATGTAACTCTGAAAATTTTAGATTAACTCTGAAAATTTAATAATATATATAAGTATATTTTTTTAAAATAATATGACTCCTGAAAATATTATTACTGTAAATAAAAGGTTTTAATTTACAAGCCACAAAATTTTTATAAAAATTGACTATGACTAAAAAAATTTTTATCAGGAACATATTTTTACCTTCTATATAAAATTTTAGTATGACATCAAAATCATATAAAAAATGATCGACATACCCCCTACCCTTAACAAACATACAGACAGGAAGGTCAGAGTTAGGTTAGATGACACTTAGGTGTACAGGAACTTGTGTGCTATCTGTCAAATGTAGTATAAGGATCAGAATGTTTAATTAGGTAATCTCCTAGCAAATTACAAGTATAATAACTAGTGTCAGGTGAACTACTTAAATAAATAATCAAAAGCTGTACGTGTAACTAGTTACACACCTTGTACAAGTTATGTAACCATAATTAAATCACAATAAAGGCAGCCGCCGATAACAAGCAAAAGCAAAAAAAAAAAATCGAGTTTGATAATGCATCATATGGTAAAAAATAGTTATTAAACACACCCACATGACATATCTTTGTATAACCCTTTTCGCAGTCAAGAACTCATGATAAATTCAGAGAACTATTCTAAAACAATATTGAATAAACCAAAAATATATAAGATAATAAAAAGAACCCGATTTTTAATTATAGTACAAGTAGCGATAATTTTTCAATAGATCAGTTAATTTTATATTGAATGTCTGAATTAAATGATTTGCATAAAGATAAAGTCTGATCTATGAATTCGTTTAAGCGTCGAAAAAAAAAAGATCGTGAGTATGCATGATTTACTTTGACAAATTCAATATGTTATGTGATCATAACATGATCTTGCGTAGTCGGAAAAATTAACATTCATCATAACTGTACGAACATTTTAATCATTATAAAAGTAGAGCTTTAGATTATCAATTTATCAGAACGACAAAAAATTCGAACAAAAAAAAAATGTAAAGCAAAAAATAATTAAACAAGTTATACCAAATCTACATGAAACCATTCATTTTTCTGAGATACTATCAAAAATTTTGTATATTTTCTTACAAACACATCAGCAAAATCTTCCAATACCTTAGACCAGTCAGGTCTGCTTTGTTCAGCTCTGCAAGAGTAAAATAACAAACCATAGACTATACAACGCTCTCAATTGTGTGATACGGGAAATGTCCTTCTTTAGCCATTTTTTCGCCAAAAAAAGGGTATTATTATTAGCTACACGACTGGTCAAAGCAAAAAATAGAAAAACCGTGTTTCACCAAAATTAGATCGTCGTATAGGTTAAAACATGCAAACTCAAAATTAACAAATAAGACGAACTTCTGTCTGAAACTGAGTATTCCGTAAAAAATTATAGAGCCTTTTGCAAAAACAATAAATACTAAAAAATTTTTAATCTTTCGTTTTAATTACATTTTCGCAAAATTTTAAATCAATTTCTAGATTAATAAAAAACTATATTAAAATAATTTTTGACAGCAAAACATTTTATTTGAAAGACTGCTATACTAATTTAATAGATACAGAGATAAACAACAAAATAACATTTGTTTTCATAGTATTCTTAACATACTTATCAATTTATGTAACGAATTTGAATCTACATTATAAATACGAATATTTTGTAGCACTATTGTTATATTGTGAATGAGTTATTTATTTAATGTAAAAAATGTAAAACTAGTTATATAATTCATCATCGCTGTCTTCCCAATTGTTTCCAAGAGAATTTAAAACTTCAGACATTTTTTCAGCTTTGTTGAAGACATCTTCAAAGAAATTGACCGCGTTCTCTGATTTTCTAAACGCATGTTCCATGGTGATTCGGTTTTGTTTTTGTTCTTCAACAGCAATTCTGAATCGAGTTCGTAAATCTTCGGTTGCCAATCGAATCTTTTTACGGCTTTGTCTAGTGATACGATTTGCCTCATGATCAATATATTGTGATTGAACTAATTCATGTTTAATTTTTTTGGCAACTTTTCGAGGTATAACTCTTCCCATATCATACAAAAGGTAAGTACAAACACCAATTCCTTGTGATTGAAGGAATTGGTTAAGTATGAATGTTTAAATGAATGCAAGTTAACTAACAAATATACTTACCAGCAATTCCCACTAACGACAACATAGTTTTGCCACGAATGTTAAATATGCCCGTGAAATTATAAATTTTCCATAAGCTGGAAAGTGCATTAAATTTAGAAAAGGCATAAATTATGGTACAACTGGATAAGCCGACAAACGAAAAACGGTCATTGAAATTTTGAGTTATATCGAAATCAAAGAAATCAGATAATGCTATAGGAATGGTGTTTATGATTCCATGTCTATACATTTTTTCAAGATCAATCTTACAAGGCTCTCCACCTAAATTTTCCGCTATGGATTGGATTCTATTAATGCAATTAGCAGTTTCTTCCTTTGCTTTCTGTTCGGAAGAATAGACCCCTTTCGAAATCTCTTCAAGCATAGCATCACGAACATCACTGGCATATGCCCACACATAAATTAAGCCACGATATTCTATATTAGTAGCTGACAAATCAATGTTGGAAATAGCGTCTTCTAACCGTTTTTTGGTGAATAGCATAATAGAATCACATGTATCATCAACGCATTTATTGGCTTCCAAAGTAATATATTTTTCATCATTACAAAGCCTTTCAAATGCTTCTCTGCCAGATTCAAGTTCGCTAAAAGACTTTTCGGCTTCACGAGATGCTATTCCTCGATTGAATTCGGATAGCACACCAATATCATTTAAAATATTATCGATATAATGTCTAGCAGGAGACAGCTTAGATTTAGATCTCTTTTTTAGAACAAAGTTACGCAAAGATTCTTCGAGACGATTAAAATCATCGATCCTTTGTTTATCAATAGATGTTGCCGAAACGTTACTTTTGTCATTCAATTCTTGCCTTTCGATTGGAATAGTGGTAGACGTTACAAAATGTACTAAATCTTCAGCATGCTCATAGGTACGTGGAGAAACTTCTTTAATTTGGTCCAACACCAGACGCTTACATTTTTCTTTATCACGTATGTTATCGAAACGGTTAACAACAATGAAAAGGTAGGCTTTTTCATTGGATGCATTCGATAAAAATTCTTTGGCCGATAAAGTGAAATGGTTTTCGGCACTAACGACAAATATGATAACATCGATTTCTTCTTGCCTAGCGAACAAGGCGGTCGTCTTAAGCGTATCTCTATTCAATCCTGGACAATCAATCAAAGCAATATCCACCACCCCATTATGAAGGAGACTCTGGTGTACATCACGCCTGTCCTTACAGTATACCTTAATAGTATCATTATGGTTTAAAAATAAATAATTGAGATATATATATATGTATATATAATTAGAAAATCATTATACCTTGATTTGAGCATATTCATCCGTACCATTGTTGACCGTATCGAAAAGGTTTGATAACTCGATCTTAGTATAAGTTGAAGAGTCTTCCCGGTTATAGGATTCAATATTTTTTATAGCGTGAACTTCCTCAATTCCAGAATTTTCTTGAACATCCAAAACCTCGCAGAAAAGAGTAGTACATGGTTGCTGATCCACGGGCATTACATTACGTCGAAGAAGAGCATTAACAAATGTACTTTTGCCAGCATTAACATCACCAGCAACTAAAACTTTTGAACTAGTATCAGCTACGCGAGATTCAAGATTTTCAATTCTCTTGATACCCTGAACTAGTCGACAATCCAATAATTTAGATACAGCACTTTTATCTAATTGTTCCATAACATTTTCTGCAGATGAGCTATCCCCTTGTTTCAAGTTCAATCTAAAAACATTAAGCTTAGTATTAATTTCCTGGGAAGATGACATATCTTGTTGAGGCGGTGTGTAAAGTTTTGCCTGAATTTGTTGTCGAAATTCGCTCATGACATGTGAATTTTTTGCCGACCAGTTAGAGGTCATTGAAGACTGTAAATCATTATCATCATATGATGTAAATTGTCGATGGTTGGATAAAGTTTGGCCTAGAAACGGATATTGTATATTCCATTTTTCTTTATTTATTTCTCTGAACCGTTCCAAGATGGATTTGGTATCAGTCAAGAGTCCCAATAATTTTTTACTCTTATGTGCAAAGACTTGGTTGTTTGAAAGGAGTGAAGATTTTGGAGTTGAAGGTGAAGTTACCGGAGAAGTTATGATGGTTGGATACCTTTCGGAAAGTGGACTTATTTGAACATTAGCATTCGTTATACGGTTTGTAAATATTGATGGTTGAGAATTTCTTCCTTCAGGAAGAATAGACGACGATGTTTGGGAGTTCTTTGAGGATGAAACACTATTAAAAAATTGTGAAGACATCGTGTTTTTTTTTGTTTTTTTTTTTGTTTTTTTTTTGTGTAGAGAATGAAAAAAAAAAAATTTTTTTTAAACTGCACGTGTTTTAGTGGATTTTTCTTGATATTTTGGTGGCACGAAAAATAGAAAACAGCAACGTGGTCCTGACCGCCAGCAGGAAGACCTTGCAAATATGGTACGATCCGGTCTGCAGATACAGGTTGTCAATGTTAAAAAAAAAAAAAAAATGGGAAAGATTTTTTTTTACATATATATATAGATTATATTTCATCAATCACGCAGATGATTTGACGGGTTAGCATAGATTGACGTATTAGAGGAGGACAAGAAAATGACTAACCTTATTAGTCTTTTAGAATTTAAAATCGGAAAATTGTTTATTATACAATTTTTTTGATTTTGACCATCAGATAGTACAATATAAATCGAATTCGTATGATTCATCTAATTTCATCTACATATGTTCGATAAGATGGTACACTTGTTCTGGTTTATTATCTGGTATATATTTACTAACGCTAATACCAGATGCCATTTTTCAAGTCATGTTGATTTAGTGCATATGTGCGGGGATGTATTTCTAATAAGCTTTTCCAACCCGAGTCAAATTATTTCTAAAAAGTCTGGTGATTTTCGGATCAGTGTCACTAAATTTGTAAATTCCGGAATATTCCGGTTTAATAATGCCGTTTAAAGTTCTTTTTAAGCGATGCTTAATCACATGAATTGTATCCAAAAATTGCACATGCTTCGATAATTGATATTTTAAATTTATTATTCGCTTAAAGTTCCAAACTGTCCCTAGTGTTTATTAGAAAGAATATGCATTTATCAACGAAGGTTTTAGCTAATTAACGATCATGTAATGCATGAATCAATTGTTGTTTATTTAGAATACCAATTGTTTGTATATTAACAGCTTTTAGTTTCTTTGGATCTAATAAAAACAAATATATAATGATCCTTGTTTATTGCGAAATTATTTTGGGACGAAAAGCTAGTAAAATCCAAAATTGTAAATGAGAAATATGAAATAAATAAATATAACAATTTAAATATAAATTAAAAAAAAAAAAAGACACTGATGAACGCTTACTCTGAACGTTCATAGTGACCATTTGCCTTTGACACGAAGGACTTGTGATTGTAATAATAGTTAGAGATAAGAACACTAAGAATAAAAAAATTAATAGATGAGTCTCTTTAATTTTTTCATTCTCTACGTCTAATCCGAAAAAAAATTCATATATAAATAATTTATATGATCATTATGAAATGTGAACCTTTGCAAAACGCTCCGAGAGTGCTTCAACTTGATCATTTGTTGATCTGGTTTCATGTGAAGGTTCCTGAACTTGAACTTCACTAACTTCTTGCAATTTTGTCTCTGGTGGTTCTTCTAAATCTTCAGTATCTGAGTCTTTATCTTCAAGTGTTAATTGTTCTAAACTTGGTGCCTCTATCAGATCTTCTTTGTCCTCTGGTTCATCCTCCTCCTCATCATCGCCAAGAATTTCCATATCATCTAATTCACCCAAAGCATCTGCATGACCATGTGCTTCCAATGCAGATATTACCTCCTTGATGGAGGCATCATCTTCTTCAACATTGTTACCATTTAACTCTAATGAAATTAAATCCTTAAGATGCGTAAGGATAGCAGAAGCAAGAACTTTTACACCTTTATTATCGATCTCATTATATTGAAGATTAAGGGATTCTAACTTTTTATTATGACCTAATAAAAGAGTTTCAGCAACAACCACACCACCTTTTGCCGATAATAGACAATCCCCGATATTGAGAATTTTCAAGTTTGGCCATTGAACAATTGCTTCAGCAAAAGCTCGAGCACCCTTTTCTGTGAATGTATTGTCTTGAAGGTCAAGAATCTCTAAATTTTTACATGCGGCCAACCCTTTACAAAGGGTAATGATACCTTCTGGACGAATACCATTTTGAGGCATACGAATTTCGACCAAAGAACCGTGAGCAGCTATAGCATCAGCGATAGCTTGACTGGACTCATTTTCTAATCTATTGCGACCAGCGATAATGGTTGTAAACGAAGATTTACGACCTTCCGAATTATTCTTCTCTGCCGCAGCGAGTAAAGCCTTACCGATCAGCTTTCCACCACGAGGTCCAAGACCAACATTATTAAGTTTGAGAATCTTTAAAGATCTATTATTAGTAAGAAAATCAACCATAGGCTCAGCACCTGCCGGACCAAACGCGTTATCACTAAAACTTAATTCTACAAGGCATTCTTTATCCTCAAGCGCGTCACATATAGCTTTCACAGAGTGAGGAATCTCCTCCCTAAGCCTACCCGTAAAGATGTCTGACGCGTTGACAATCTGTATAAGGTGCGCAGTCAAACAGAAATAATAAAGACGCGTTAAAATTATGAAAATTAATGATAATGCATGATTTGAATTCAAAACAAATTGTTTTTTTTTTTAAGATTAATTGTTCGATTTCAACCAGTAGTTCTTACCTTGATAGAATTTTTCTTTTTTAAAGCCATGGCTATTGCTTGAGCAGCTTCAACACCAAAAGTGTTTCCGCTTAACACTACTTCCTCTAAATTATTAAGGTCCAATATAGAATTCACATATTCTTGTACATCTTCTGCAGTATTCAATTTCAAGCCTTTTCCGGCGATGGTGAGTATTGTGTCAGGAGTCATTATAAATTCACTAATATATGAATCAAATACGTGATTTCGAGAGGTGAGGACAAAAACTACGGAACTACGGTAGCATAAAATTTTTATTATTTTACTATTTTACCTATCACTTGGTCCGATTGTCCATCGATCATGTGACACACAACCAAAATACTGGTCGTTTTTTAGCGGATCAAGTTTCACCGTATTTCTATTGGCCAAATCACAAATTCTTCGATTATCGTTTCTAAATTCCATTTTACTGATGAGTCAACCGCTGCAAAGGATCGCTCATAAGGTCCACAAAATCTTTATTCCTTCTTTACACGATGAAACTCGTTTAGAAGCTCGAGTTGGGGTAAACTATGTCGACGATCAGAAGTCCGTTAAAGCCATTATTATCGCACATCCATACGGGCCTTTAGGTCTGTATACAATAAAGTAGATTCACTGAAAGCTCAAGTCTCTGGTCTGATTTACTAATTTAAACTCATTTTTTTTAGGCGGAAATTTTTATAATAATGTCGTCGTCACAGTCGAGCAATATTTCCAAGATAAAGGATACTTGACGATTGCGTTTAATTTCAGGTAATAATTCCATTTCCTTTTTCCTTCGTGAATTTATCTAATTCCATGATTATGGTAATTATTAAAGAGGTTGCGGAAAGTCTAAAGGTCGAACAAGTTGGTCCGGTGAACCAGAATGTGAAGATTACAAAACAATGCTAGAATTTTTATCGAAATCTGGTAGAATTGGTGAAAATTCCATATTACAGATTCCCAAAATTTCTGATGTTACAATAATAGTAAGTTACTTTATATATTGACATCTAATTTAAGTTATATTCTCTTTATTCTAAAATTACAGAATTATGTTTAAAAGGGTTATAGTTATGGTTCACTAATAGCATCGTCCCTTGCTTCATCATCTTCCCAATTTACACTTCCAACCTCATATGTCTTAATAAATTATCCACTTTCTGTGATTTGGTTCTTGACATTTTTTCGGTCTTCAACATATTTGAATTATTTACAAACTCTCCTTGCTTCAACTTCCCATGTACTATTTATATATGGGGACTCGGATCAATTTACTGGAGTAAGCAAATACAAGCAATGGGTTGAAGACAATAAAGCTGTGGAAAATCCATTGTGGTCTGTTATAGAATTAAAAGGAACCGATCATTTTTATACTTTTCAGAATATGGAAGATAAGTTGATCAAAGCTTTGGATGAATGGATAAATAATGTTTAGTAAATTATTTAAAAGCATATATTTTTATTAATTCCTAATTTATTTTATTTCATGTCCGAGGTGAGATTCATTTTTTAATAAAAAAAAATTATATTTTTGATATAAACAAATAAAATCTAAAAATTTTATAAAAGAAATATATTTAGGCTTTTTTTGTAAGGGTAGAATATAACATTGATCATTTTTATATAATTACATTAGCAAAATAAATATATAAATATTAAAAAAGATTTTGCATTAGTGTTCCTATCAAACCGAACTGAACCAAACTTTAACTAAGTTTGAGTTTGGTTTGATTTTCAAATCAAACTCGAACTCAACCTTTTTTTAAACTTATGTCCGGTTCGGGTTTGATTTCAAACTTTTTTCCCAGTCCGGTCTGGTTTAAAGTTTGGTTCGAAGTTTGCAAACTAGTTCGGGTCCGATAAGGTAACTAGAACTATTACAAACTGGATGCTATATAAAATATAGTTACACGATTAATAAATTATAGTTATTGTATGGGTTATGTGTGAATAACCCAGTTACACACGGGTTCATATTCCGTGCCGAAGGCACGGGATTTAAATATGAACCCGTGTGTATAACTGGGTTATTTTCATACCCATATAATAACTATCTTATTGCACGGTGTCTGACCGTGCCAATAAGTAAATGAAAAAAGCACGGGTTGTCACATAAGACCCATGCAATAAATAAATTTTATAATTTTGGTAGCTTAATTTAAACTTTCGAAAAGCCAACAATGACACAGGACTATCTGAATTAAATTAACAAATGCTGATATTTTAAAATAAAATTTGGAATTTTTTTATTCGAATCATTTATTTTTTTTAAAATTGGGTTAAGATTTCTTGATCCGGGTTTCATTATATATGATTGTCATTATTCATTTTTACTACTTTAGGTGCATTTTTTTTACTCAACTAACATATATATATATATAAGCTATAGTTCCAGACTAGCTCTATACTGAAATAGAGCCAGTTTTGTAACAACTTTTTAATTTTACTAAAGGTAACAAAAGTTATTGCAAAATCAGCTTTATTACAATGTAGAGCTAGTCTTGAACTATAGTTTAAAATATTTATATATGTCTAATATGATTGTATATTAGTTGGGTAAAAAATAAATTCATATTTAAATTCATACATGAATCAATCTTCAAAAAACTCAAATATACATGATCCTATGGTTTGATAATTGGATTATAGAGTCTTGCTGCAGTACAATTAATAAAAGTATTCTATTAACTTTAACTAGTTGTATTTAATAGTTTAATTTAACATTAATTCTTCAATTCTAGTCTGTAGTATAGCAGTGAATCAATATAAAATTCAGTCCTTCACAACTATCACATGATCAGAGTAGCATTTTCCAATCATGAATTTTCACAGATTTGATATTACATTACAGGAATCAATTATAGATCAAGAGTTTAATCAGTTTTTAAGACAATGAGTATGTAGGATTGTCAATTGTAACTTACTTTCTTTACTTTTCAAATATGTAAATTAATTTTATCAATAGTCACAGGGTTAAAAAAACTATAATAACCTTATATAAGTTGATATATGATAATCATGAAAACAGAAATTATTGATTTGTATGAATTAAGTGTTTTTATTATACAGAAACTAAATAAAACATAAAAATAAATTTTTACAAGCATAGTCAGATCTCTCTAAATGCTACCTTCTAAGTGCATGCCTATGAAAAATCTCTTTAAATGCATGCCTTTACTTGGGTTTAACTAATATATATTATATCTATAAATTTTTATTTCTTTAAATACAATACTTTTCTAAATATATGTTTGGCTAAATTTTTATATATGGTTCTGTTATATTGCATTTAGAAAAGTCTGACTATAAAACCTAGAGTTAATAGAATAATTATTGTGACAGATTATAATGAAATCAGATTAAAATAAAATATGTATAGTATAAAAAAAACTTAACAAGTTACTGAAAAATACAATTTTTTGAGATATATTTTTTAAGTTAGAGATTAAGGTTAAAGGTTAGTTTTAGAGTAGAGTTTATATTAAACAAATAAAAGTGGGTTTTAGAAAGTTAAAAAGAAACCCATATTTTATTTTAATCTAATTTTATTATAATCTGTAACAATATTAGGAAACTAACTTTTACTTGAGCATTTAAAGTCAAATTGTTAGTTTCAAAATTTGTCAAAAATTACAAAATTATAATAATCAGTTTTTTGGCATAGTCTTAGGCAAAATCTGACTATACAATATGCTTTTTAGATACTTGTATTTCATATAAACTCATAAAACAACTATACCATTTAGTAACTTTTATTAGATATCTTTCAATATTCTTTTACATTAATATATAAATGCTCAAATATATTTTATTATTTAAAAAAAATATATAAGTCTAAACATTAGTTAAATTATATTCTTATTTATTTATCTACTTAATTTTCAGATTATTACTTTAAATTTCCTAATTTTTTTTTCAATAATTTTTGATTTTATGAATAAAAACATTGTGTTATTCTTATAGTTTTAGATTCCAATATGAATTTTTTGTTTGTAATCATATTTCTACCTACAAAGAAGCATGTTCAGAAGTAATGAAGATCACAAAGATGGTAAAGTAGACATGAACCATAGAAGCAAGCTTAGGAAACTGTATTTAATACATTTATTATTATCATTATATAGATATAATTATATTATCCAATAAAATATATATTTATATTTAGTTACCTTTTATCAAACAAGCACATTAATATCTTTATTTGTTGGTTTTTTCAAAATATAGCATTCAAGCTTATTAAAATTTTTTTCATCATTATTAAAATCTAAATCCAACATTGATTGTATAGCTAATTCTATAGTATTGCTAGTATTCAAGTTATTATTAGATATAGCTAGTAAATAATTTGTTTTAAAAATCTTACATATTCTAAAATATAAATTTATAATATAAGAGAAAATTAAAATTATTAATTATTAGAGATTATGAAATTTGAGATTTCTAATTAAATATATAAGTATACAAAATTGTCAAATAACAGTAATTTTGCAAATGAACATATGTCTCAGAGTGGCATATATAGCCAATCATTTGTCAAGTTACTGTATTGACAAATTTTTCCAGTATTAGTATTATTTGGCAATTTGTAATTATGATTCATAAAGAGCTATCAGCTGAGTTATAATTTGAATAAACATGTTTACATTATTATTTTTTTTTTAATATTAAGATAATTACTTGTGACCTAGGATTTTATTAATAGTATATTTGGCTAATGATTGCATTACAACCATAGAAGGCAACTATAAAAAAAGTATACAACTAGCTACTTTTATAACTTTAGTTATTGTTTAATTTAAGTAGTCTACCCAAAGGTTCTATACTAGTTGCCATATCTGAAACCTGCTTGTAGATTTCTTATTTAAATACTCTAGTTTCTATATTTATCTACCTACTTCTATCTACCAATGACCTAGTTTGATGTTAATAAAAATATACTATAGCCACTAAGTCTTTTAAAGCAGTTCTTTGAAATCTTTGATCTTATACTAAACTTTCCAGAATCTTTTGTATTTTATTCTTACAGCTTATTAATTTATTAAATATTTTTTTTATTTATTTTTCTAAATATATCTAGAATATTTAGTCTAACTGCAATAAGCATAAAAATATTTCATAAGAATCTAATTTAGTTTGTATTATTTTAAAATACTTTTATTATTTTTAATATTAATTATAATTAACAAATTTTATTAAACAAGTAAAAAACTAAAAAGTATAATTATTAAATTACAATTTATGTATAGTTATAATTTGTAATATTTTAAAAATATTTTTATAATTTTTAAAATTTTTAATTATTTTCATATATTTTTGCTTATTTTTGAATATTTTCACAATTTTTTATTTTTTTTTAAAATTATTTACTGATATTATTAATATTAATTTAGATTTATCTGATGAAAATCAAGATACTAAAAATGAATTATAAAACATTTTTTGTTTTATTATTTTAAATAATCTTTTTTTTTAGCTAAATTTGTATAAATCAGAATACAGAAATTTAATATTTAAATAAAACTTATTTGTTTTTTTATTTTATTTACTAATATATCTTTTTAAGTTTTATAAATTATTCAAAACTTTTTGAATATCTTTAAAATTTTTTATTATTTTATAAATTTTTATATAGATATTTATTCTTTTTTTTATCTTTATTTATTTTTTTTATTTGTATTTGATATATAAATCAATCAAATAAAGTTAATACAGATTAAAAATAATTAAATTTGTTTAGTTAATGATCAAATAAAAAAATTATATTAAATATATTAAAATATATAAATAACAATAATTCAATTAAAATAAATAAAGAGTGTAGTAACCTAGTGAAGTGATCAGATTGTCAACCTCTCAAGTAATAGGTTGGATGTTCAAATCCTATCAATGATGAAAATTTGGATAATAATCTATATAATATTTATATTAGGTTATAGGGCATCTGTACAATATTGAAGTTATATGAAGAAATGCAAACTGACAAATCGAGTAATGCAAATACTAGATAAGTTCTTGTAATCATATAAATCTATTGAAATTAAGTAACAAGAAGTCTATTTGGAAAGATATAAATAGAGAGGTAGCTGGATTTTTGATGGCCCTACTGTAAAAGCTAGCCTGGAAAAACAGATATCAAGGTCTAGTACCCAATCATAGTAGCCAGATAGACAAGAACCTCTTGGTTGGAAGTCTCAGAAGTATGACCAATCAGGCTGCTAGAATGAATTAGAGAAAAAGAATATTGGGCTAACCTGATATACCGATGGACTGGGCATAGTCCTATATGGGCTATATAGATTAGAAGTTTGGTAAAAAGGCAAGTGAAAAGGCAGAGGTATACTAATGTACTGGGGTTATACTATAAAGTAGATGCTGGGATCTAAGTAAACTCTATAAGGGCATAGTGATTTAATGATCAGCTCTGATTGCAAGTAT